GATGCGTTGATACAAAATGATTATTATTACACCCCTAATGCTTAACAACGATATGTTCTGTTCTTATAACGGTCTGCTAGTTTAGCTCCAGTTGTAACATGAAAGGTCCAGAGAATATCTATGGTGTCGTCAGGATGTTTTGGGTTATTCTTGCCCATCTTGTTCCCTTTTCATTTTCTTTCTGACACATATTTGTGTGTTTTTCTCCTTTTACTTTGCTTTTCTATCCGGCCGTCACAGTTTTTTACTGTCGATCTTCTATTTCTCTGTATGATGTCTCTATCAGTGGTCCACTGTTTCTAAACAGACATATAATATATGTACAATCTCCACAAGGGGTGGCGAGAGTGGTGTTGGATGAAGGAGTTTGCCCTACAGGGTTGTCGGTTCAACCCCCGGCTCCGGCTGTCAGTGTCGTTCTTTCCCTGAGCACGAAACTTCATCTGCATTGTGTACTGATGGTGATCAGGGGGCCCAGTGGCGCTAGTGCACGGCGGCCTCATTTCTGTCTGTGAGTCTCAGGGCAGCTGTGGCTGCAATGTATTTCACCACCGTCAGTGTGTGCATGAACTGGTGAATGTAAAGCACTTTGGTCGTGTCTGATTTGGAAAAGCACCATATATCAAACCTGTATACCAAATAGAAAATGTCCAACTATCAGGTAGAATTTAGTTTCAGATGCCCCGTAGAAATCAGTTATTTTTAGATGAGAACCTGAGGTAAGTCTAGGATAATTTTTGCATTTTCTTTAATTATTCAAATAGTTTCTTCTGCCCAAAACTGCTATATTTAGCACCAAAATATTTTTCATTTGGAGCTACGACAGATGAGATACACATTTAACCAGATATCTAATGTCTCCCTCCTAATATTTCTCATTTTGCTATTTTTTTTACCAAATCCTTTTATTATAAAATCCTTTATTATGTTGAACAGTAACTTTCATAAGTTCAGCCCCAGTAAACAAACCCACCTAAATCTGAAAGCTTGTGTTTTTAATCACTCTAATGCATTAAACTAACCCAGGAAACACAAACTAAAGGGCCCATTCTATTCTAGTACATCTACACTGCAAAAACAGATCTAAAAATAAGGGCAAATGTCATAAAAAGTGTTTAACCTTAATTTGAATGAATAAACAAGATAATCTGCCAATGGAGTTGGTACTTTTTCCCCTTAAAATAAGATTATGTCTTAGAAATAATAATATTTTGTTATTGTTTTTCCCATATCTGTTTTTTCCATAAACAACATAAAGTTATTGTTTCTTTTGTCTCCTTAAACGGAAAGCAAATATCCCTATTTTAGATTGTTTGAAGTGTAGCTTTGGATTAACGCTTATAGACTCTGCAGGAAGAGCTTTAAAAGGAGTTTTTGTTTTAAAATTATTCATATTTCTCTGTTTCTGTTTCTCTCAAACCACAGATTCTCCTGTGCTCCATTCTGGCCTTTTGTTTCTCTGTTGGTTCAGAAAAACTACATTTATTTTTCAGTTCTCAACTTCAGTAAAACAAAACACATCCAGTTGTGATATCCTACTCATCCAAGCAGCTAATGATTATTTTGCAAATCGATTACTTTTTCGATTAATAATCTGATAGCAACATGTTGCTTAAAGAAGATTTTTTGTGAAATTAAACCAGGCGACACTAAAAGTTTTCCATTTGAGGAGTTCTGGGTTGTATGACGGAGTATCAGGGCCAGGCTAGAGAATTTGTTATATTTATTTAGAAAATAAAGTCGTAATATTATGAGAATAAAGTCATAAAATTATGAGAATAAAATCGTATAATTACGAAAACAAAGTTGTAGCATTCTGAGAATAGATGCGACATTAGGAGAACAATGTCGTGACGGTACGAGAATAACTTTGCAACATTACAAGAATAATTTCGCAACATTACGAGAATAATGTCACAACATTACGAGAATAATGTCGCAACATTACGAGAATAAAGTCGCAACATTACGAGAATAAAGTCGCAACATTACGAGAATAAAGTCGCAACATTACGAGAATAAAGTCGCAACATTACGAGA